GAGCCATTTCTTATCTGGTTGAAGATTTCTTTGTGGCTGCCATTACTTACAGCTGCTCCACCACCTCAGGAAAAAGGAGTCTAGCTGGCTGGGGAAAGGGGGTGCGATATCCCCAGACCCCTGCCCGGATCTCCTCTGTCTTCCGCTGCCCCTTCAGGGCAGTGACAACCCCCAAATCCAGTTGGATCGGGGGTACCTCAGCAGCGAGTGCAGCAGGGACCCACAGAGAAGCGGATTCCTGCCGCCGCCGAAGCCTTGCAACCGGAAGATTGTGCAGGAGGAAGAGCCAGAAGGAGAAATTTTCTTGGCTAAACCAGGACATTAAGTTACTTTCAAAACACCCTGGAAACCTGACTTTTGGATTGATACATTTGTTCCCAAAAGAATTTGTTACAACGGCGAAAGTGCTGAAGGAAAGTTCACTCCCCTTCCTTACGGAGAAAGCAATGGAGCACAGAAAAACCTGCTTTTTAAAGATAAAAATAAGCTCTTTGTTACAAGTGGGAAGGAGAGGACTAAAAAAGAATAAATCTTTAAAACTTTGTTGGAGGAGATGCCTTGAAGATTATAAGACCATCAATCAACTGTAATACGGCTTTTAAAATACATTTGGGATTTTGCCCCTGGAGGAAAAATTGTAAAGAGAAGAAGAGGAAATAATTTTTGTTTGTTTGGATTGTTTGATAACTTTGACATTTGGAAACTACTTTAAGATTGAAAACATCTGGGTTGTTTTTAAAAATTTACAATGGCACCATCTGTCGATGAACTAAAAATGGAATATGAAAAATTAAAAGAAAGACAGCAAAATGGCAAGGATTCCTTGGGAGCTGCCTTCCACTTTTTAGAAATGGCGGTTTCTACGTACCAGCAAATACTTGAAGAAGGAGAAGGAGAAGGAGAAGGAGAAGGAGAAGAAGAAGAAGAAGAAGAGGAGGAGGAGGAGGAGGAAGAAGCCATCTTTAATGGACTAAAAAGTTCGATTAAGAAAGAAAATGGGAAGAGAGGAAGGAAAAATGAGAATTTAAGATTTAATAAAACAACCAAGAAAAAGAAAAATAGGGTGAAAAGAAGGTACAATGTTAGAAAGCAATTGAAAAGAGAATTACAACAGAGAGGGGAAGTTAAAAAGGGGGAGGCTAGGAGGGGGGGG